CACAAGGGAGGGGAAGGAAGGAGCTCCGAGTGTGTCCTGGGCTGGGTTTTGTTTAAATATTGGGCAGCAGAGCCCTCTGAGGGAGCAGGGCTTGCTGTGCCTGGGCCTGGGGGGTGTCCTTGGTTTCTGTCCCAGGGGTTGGGCTCAGCCCAGGGTCAGATCTGACCTGGTGGGGCTGGAAAAGTTCGAGCCAGGGGAGTGAGGAAGGAGCTCAGGGTGTGTCCTGGGCTGGGTTTTGTGGGGTTCCAGGTGAATGTTGGGCACAGAACCCCCTGAGGAAGCTCTGCCTGGGCCTGGGGGGTGTCCCTGGTTTCTGTCCCAGGGTCTGGACTCAGCCCAGGGTCAGTTCTGACCTGGAAAACCTCGACCCAGGGAGTGTGACGAGCTCAGAGCCCACAAGGGAGGGGAAGGAAGGAGCTCAGGGTGTGTCCTGGGCTGGTTTCTGTGGGGTTCCAGGTGAATGTTGGGCAGCAGAACTCCCTGAGGAAGCTCTGCCTGGGCCTGGGGGGTGTCCTTGGCTTCATCTCCAGGGTCTGGACTCAGCCCAGGGTCAGTTCTGACCCAGAAAACCTCGACCCAGGGAGTGTGACGTGCTCAGAGCCCACAGCTGTGCCCAGGAAATGGGCAGGAAGGAACCCAAAGTGTGTCCTGGGTTGGGCAGAGCCCTCTGAGGAGGAAGAACTTGCTGGGCCTGGGCCTGGGGAGTGTCCTTGGCTTCATCTCCAGGGTCTGGACTCAGCCCAGGGTCAGTTCTGACCTGGAAAACCTTGACCCAGAGAGTGTGACGTGCTCAGACACCACAAGGGAGGGGCAGGAAGGAGCTCAGGGTGTGTCCTGGGCTGGTTTTTTCGGGGTTCCAGGTGAATATTGGGCAGCAGAACCCCCTGAGGAAGCTCTGCCTGGGCCTGGGGGGTGTCCCTGGTTTCTGTCCCAGGGGTTGGGCTCAGCCCAGGGTCAGTTCTGACATGGTGGGACGTGAAAAGTTCGAGCCAGGGGAGTGAGGAAGGAGCTCCAAGTGTGCCCTGGGCTGGTTTTTTGGGTTCCAGGTGAATATTGGGCAGCAGAACCCCCTGAGGAAGCTCTGCCTGGGCCTGGGGGGTGTCCTTGGCTTCATCTCCAGGGTCTGGACTCAGCCCAGGGTCAGTTCTGACCCAGAAAACCTTGACCCAGGGAGTGTGACGTGCTCAGACACCACAAGGGAGGGGGAGGAAGGAATCCTGGACTGGTTTGTGTCTGTCCCAGCTGAGCCAGAGCCCCCTGAGGAAGCTCTGCCTGGGCCTGGGGGGTGTCCTTGGTTCCTGTCCCAGGGGTTGGGCTCAGCCCAGGGTCAGTTCTGACCCAGAAAACCTCGACCCAGGGAGTGTGACGTGCTCAGAGCCCACAAGGGAGGGGCAGGAAGGAGCTCAGGGTGTGTCCTGGGCTGGGTTTTGCCCGTCCCGGAGCCCCTGGGGCAGCAGGACTCTCCCTGGAGCCGGGCTGGGCGGTGAGCGGGGGCCTCCCCCGGTTCCCCCCTCCCTCCCATTGATCTCTGTCCCCCAGGGATGCTGCGGAAGCTGGAGCTGCGGCAGGAGCAGGACCTGCAGGCCGTGGTGGAGGTGGCCAACCACGTCTTCAGCGACGGGGTCGCCAACTGGGGCCGGGTGGTGACTCTGGTGGCCTTCGGCGCCTTCGTGGCGCGGCAGCTGCGGGGCCCCCAGCGGGACCGGGGCGTCTCCAGCCTGGCCCGGATCCTCACCGACGCCCTCGTGTCCTCCCGCAGGGAATGGCTGCTCAGCCAGGGAGGATGGGTGAGTCACCCACTGCTCCAGCCTTTCCGGGTGTTCCCAGA